ATTCACACGATTCGTTCGAATTCATTCAGAAACTAAACATCGCTGTGTTGCTCGGAGATGCACAACAGTTCTGCTGTGGCTTTATAGGTAATATTTTCTTTGGCAAAATTGAACAAAATGCACAATATTGTGTTTAAATTTTGTACAATATTAATTCTTATTTCCTGATATGTTGTATAAAATCACATTTGCACTCGTGTTCTTCGTGACAAAAACAGCACTCGAGTGTTTTTGCTCTTGCTGCTGATGTGATATCGCTTATCATATGATATAAATATGAGACAAAAACTCATACGGGCATTTTTTGGCCCCAGTATCTTGAATTTTTAGGGCATAACTACATTTATGGACTTGTTGTCCTGCATCCAGGAGTGTAAATTTGTCTAACAGTAGGGGGGGACAATAAACATAAAATTTCTCAAAAGCAATTTTTGAAGGGGACACAAATAATACAGTTAAAATTGTACTTGTAAGGAAAAGTTTACACAGCAGACTCATCGAAAAATACGTTGGCATCATCAGTAAAAATCAGCGGTAAAAAATAATCACTCCGGGGGGTAAAATACACGTTTTTCGGCAGGGTACTGGTAAAATTCGCATACATTATTGGGGTCGCTTCAACCCACGGACATGAAAAACAACCCGCGGCAACAGTATTAAAGTAGCCCATTTCTGCGGGAAAACCGCGGACTTGACAACACTGAGGTGATGTAATAGAGGAAAGCAGGCGTTTGGACCAAAGCACTGTGAGGCAAGGGAGGGGGAAACTCAAAATGTTTCTAAACTTAAAACACATTTTTGCCCCGTTTGTGTTTGTGTTGTTTTACTACTTACAAAGTTATTTAAAGTATAAAACGTTATTTACAATACACAGTTTTTAATCATATTTTTAGGTGGGACAACCCTCAGATGGGGGGGTCCTGTCCCCCCCGACCCCGGGATTTCCGCCTATGCCTGCATCATATTTGTCAACAGTCAACTGTATGAAATGTAAGATGACGTACAGGTCTGGTGGCGGGGCCAGTGCGTTGACTGTGTTAAAATATTTGAATCGCGTTTTTCATAACTAATTAAAGCTGCAGTCCCTAAGTTTAGCCTCTTTGTCGCCATCTCTGTTTGAAAACCTGCAATTGCAGCTGTTTGCGGAATTATCTTCCTTGCGTGGGTTGTGTGCCGGCACGGCTCCAACATGGATGAATCTAATGTTTTGAGGATGTGTGGCAGTCAGTCACCGCACCGGTGTCGATATTTACTGTACCTCGCAATCACAGATTCTAGACTACGTCTTGGAATATATGACCCAAATAAGAATTTTCACCGTATATTGTCATCTGAACAAGTAAGTAACAAGTGTGCCACGTTTGTTCTGACCAACTGAGGAAAAAAGCATTACAATAAATCATTACAATAAACCCCGCTACCGATATCTAAAGATCGGTTAGCTCATATCACATCAAACCGTGCAAATTATTATTATTGTTATACTTTATTCTCAATTATTAATGTTAACAACATCAGCATTGCGTGACTATGAGTAAAGTGTGCATTAGCGTTGTAGTAAATCAGCTCAACAGGGAAATATTTATGACTAATTATAACTGGTTATGATTAATAATAAATATTTAGATTATATCTTCGAATTAACTGTAGCAGAATCAATATTACAATTATTTGATCTGTCCATCCACCGAGCAGACAATATAATCATTTATCAATTCAAGTAAAGATTATTTTCCTGGCCAAGGAAGAATAACTGTCCTTCTTTATGCAGTGCTAGCAGTAATTTAGCAAATGTAGCAAGGGTTCAAAACATTCATTGACTTCGAATTGTGAGCAGCAAACAGAGACAATCAGTTGTGAATATAAGGGATTTAATAAATGAAACTATATCTAACATATAACTAACTAAGCAAAACACATATATACAGAAAGAAGCAAAGTAAGGAAAAGAGAGAGGAAAGTACTTGCTGGCATATGCGACCACTCTTTTGTCCTGGTCATGCCGTTGGTATAGACCAGCACTGAGGCAGTGGCTGGAGAATCCAGCGTCCAAGTAAAACTCCTTCTGTGGATCTGGGTAAGCCAGACATGGAGCAATGCACAGATGTTGTTTCAGCACATTCATGGCATTTAGCTGTTTGTCTGTCCAGGTGAAGGGGCAGTCCTTTTTCAGAAGGGCAGTCAGAGGGCGTGCAATGTCCGAATAGTTGTTGTTGAGGAAGATGTTAAATTCGGCTGGTTAGTTGGCATAGCCGAATGGGCACCTGGTGAAGGTGTACTGCCGATTGCGTGTTCCCGCGGCTGGCGGCGAGATTTCCCGCGACCTTTGTGACACGACAGTCTGTCTGGGGTGGTCTTGGTGATTGAGGAGGCAGAGGTTCTCGCACTTGAGCCCAGATTTTCAGTTGTTTAAAATCTAACAATGGCTCAAAGCGATCTAGCAGGTCTTTGACAGCATGATCGTCTAAAGACTTTGGCAGCTTGGGTCGCCAATCTATTACTCAGCCTTCCCTGATGATTCTCAAAGATTCGGTCTCTAGGCAAACAAAACAGAACAAAATGAAAAACAAACAAACC